GGAATCAGTAAGTGACACACAGAGAGGCAGCAGAATGGAAGTAAAATAATAAACTCACTCATCGATAAGGGTCGACCGCATATAAGTTGTGCGTGGATTGATGACACACTGGGTTACAACTCCTCTTTTTATAGGGTTTTACAGCCTTGATCTCATTCAGGTGGTTATACTTTATTCTCCCAGTTCACATTACCAAACAAATCATGGTCAGAAGACAGTTAACTTTCAACCCAGATGTAGCAATTCTTTGTGGTTCAGGGAGTTTACCTTGAAGATTCGCCTACCTATCTGTCCCAGCCCATAGGAAGGGGATGTTCAGGGTCAGGAAAGCAAATGTTAACAGTGGTTCTTTTCATCTTGATACTTATACAATCATGTGGTTTACAGAACTTCAGAGCTCAGGGTCTTGATGTGCTCTGTTATCTCAGGATGAGAACAGATGTCTCACTTAGTGGTTAATGCCTCCGGTGTGTTAATTCTGAACTCAACAAAGCAAAGGGCAAAGTTATCTTACATTCTGACCTTACCTAGGTTTTGGCTATTAAAGTTTTTCCCTATCAATAGCTTAAAGGACAGGAGTCACACCGGGGCCAATAAGATCTGGACATGTGCATGTCTGCAAAGTCCTTAGCTGGACAGGTCAATATTATTCCACAGGGAGACTCTTCTAATATCAGTTACCAAATTGTAATATCACTGCCTGCCTTACTAACATGAATAAGGATAAAGGTGTGCTACTATGATATATGCCATCCTTTGTCATATTTCTGTTGCCTGCTATCATGACTGTGGGCTGCAAGTACAGGAAGAAATACACAGATGGCCCATTCGCCCCCATCGGATGGTAGGACATATTATCCTGGGAATTATGTCTCCAGTTACACTGCTTGCCACTACTGAGGTTGCATCCATGGCCTTAGCACAAAATGTGCAGAATGTGCAGTGTAATAATGTGCAGTGTTTCAGTGTAGCAAAAAATACCTCTTATGCCCTTGAGACCCAGGAAGATGATGATGTTAAATTGGAAGTACAGGTTAATGCCTTAGAAGCTACAGTGCTAGAGACTGGTAATCAAGTTAGAGCCCTACAGTACCATTAAGGATTGCACTACCACGCTGAATACCCTCATATTTTCATCACTGTTCTTCCTCACCGGGGGCCTGGAAAAAGGTTACCACATAGTTAATGGGTATCTTTCTTCACATCATAGCAATCTCAGCCTAGGTCTCCAAAAGTTTCAACAGATCTCGTCCATTCAGCACGCTCATGTGTTTCCTCAT